CATTAGAATACGTATTAAGAATATATATCATATATATTATAATATATAAAAAAAATAAATTAGATCTTTTCTTAGCGAAATGTAACTTATCTGTTCGTTGCAATCTTGTAAAATTTGCTATTCTCACAAATTTCCACACTAGTACATTGCAAAGTTATGTTATAATACCCTCGTTGCTATCTATTAACTTGCATCAGATAAATGTTTTTTGTTAAATTTAATTATTAAATGATAGACTCAAAATTATAAACTACACGCTCACATGAGTGGAATCTAATAATAATGTTTGGACGCTAATCAACTTATTACATGATTATATAAATTTTAGAATTATGTAAGAGTGCTCGAGAGTGAAACCTTGAAGTGATATTTAAGTTTTCACTGTGGCAAACTTAGCCCTTGAAAAATAGTGCAAAAGTATTATGACGTAATTTTAGCTATTGTCATAAAATTTTAGATAAAAGTCAATAATACGAAAGACGATATTTTTAATATGCAAGTATTACTATTATGTGATTTTTAATAATTGTAATACAGTAATGATGCTCAATTGCAACGATGATAGATCAAAATTAAGATCTCAATCACTACTTGAGAGGATTCTAAATAGTTTATCGAAAATTTTACAAAAAATGTATGTCGATAATGAAAAGTATGAAACGCTTGAATAATATTTATTAATTTTAGTAGTTATAATGTTTTGATAAGTCAGCGCAAAAAAAAAGGTTGTTCGGGCAAAAAGTTGACTGAAATGGTAGTAAACTGACTGTTCATTTTTTTTCACGTAGTAAACTACCTTACTTATATTAATGACTGATCGATTAAAAATACTTCCGCCAATTAAAATTTAATTTCCCGACACATATCAGACATAAATTCTTTTCACATGGCATAGACCATTGGGGTATTTCACGCACTAATTAATCAAAACTATGTAAGGTATAATAATAAAAATCGATAGTACAGATTTTTTACGTATTATTTGATATTTATGCACCCATGTAGATCCTGAGCAGACCCCGGCTATATTATTTGCCCAATAGAATACAAGATCTGTGTGTAATGAAAAAAATCTAATAAAAAAAACCGACGCGATAGTAATTTGATTCTATATATATTTTTTTAAGTATCATAAAAAATTTTTTAACATCAAAAATTAACGACTTATAAATAATTTTTTAAACAGATTGTTTGCCTCTTGCTCTCGTTGCCCGTCTGACTGGATTAATGAAGCGGAATCTTGTGGTTTGTGAGCTATTCTGTTTTCTTTTCGAATATCTCTTAATTGTTCACCAGTTATTTGAATTTCGTCTATTTTTGCTACAGCAAGACGCATTTTAGATTGTTGGGTAGAATTGATCATGTTCAGGTGGGTTTTTAAGTCCCACTTATTGAATAGGCCCTCAATTTGCTGCTAGTGAACAATGATATACCAAACTTTGTTTTTAATGAAGTCATATAGCAGTGGGAATTGGTGAAGTAGGGCAGTTGATTCACTAACGAATGAGCTAAATTCTTGAAAAAACATTTCATCAGTTAATGCATCCTTAAGACCGAAATCATCAAAATTTTCTTCAAGAATGTCGGTTTCCAGATACTTTGCATAGCAAAGTTCTTTTAGACTAGGAATTTTCGGCCAAGGTTTTTTAAGCACAACATACCAATAGCTACGTGCAAATTGTTGGCCATTGTTTCCACCAAGGCGACACATGCTTAAAGGAAGATGAATCCAACAATCCATCCATTTTTGATGTAATTCAAGTCCTTTTCGTATTCCTTGTTCTAATTTTTGAACCAATGATTCTATTTTTGAATCGTCTATAATTTCTGTACACTGTAAAAGCTCACCACCAAAAAATAAATAAAGGTTTTCTACGGTACTTGCAAGATTACGTGTTGAATTAACAACAAAATCCGGCATTTGATGAGCCCAACGACTAGATGGCAAATACTGTAACGAATTATCAGATTGTACAACTCTTGGTTGAGGATCGTAGCCAACAAGAAATTTAGCATATGGGCAGTAAAATTCTTAACCAAATTTAACTAAACATTTTATTTCAATGTTTAACCCAGAATCATTTAACCAAGTTTCAAATAGTTCCCATTTTTCAACATACGAACGCGAAACCTTTTTTAGATTTTTTAATTTTGGAAGAAACCATTTAATGAATTCTATATGAATTTCGCACCTTTCAAGGTATTGTTCAGCTATAATTAATTCGTATTGCCATCTTGACTGTAAAGGACGTTGATATTTATCTAACTGATAATCAAGCCATGTCTTATAATGATTCTTAATTGTTTCACCCCTCATATTTAAAGGTGAATCTTTATCACTATCATTATATCCGTCATGTAGCATCCATACCAAATAAAGAAGATTAAACGGGTATTGTGTTTTCGAGAATCCAGTACTTGCTAACAGTTTACTAAGGCTGTTTCCTTAAAATTATTTAGGATTAAATGTAATCCACAGGGAATTCAAGTATAATTACATTTAGCTAGATGATTAAATTTTGCGACAGCACCTCCAACATGACCGCTCATATAATTCATATTGTCAGAAAGAAAAGTAAAACATTGTGACGCATCAAGATTATATTTCGTACAGGATTCAACCAGGGCTTGGCTAACCGTATTAGAATTACAACATTGAAGATCTTTGGTCTCTAAGAGTATGACATCAGGTATATTTTTTGCAGAATTCCAAAACATAAAACAATTTACTAATATTTTTTTTTTCACTGCGACCTGACTCATCAGTCATTATTCCGAATATAAAATAAGTTAACTGATTGGCTTGCTGGAAGATGTTTCGTACATGTAATTCTGATACCTCACGATGCCAACGGCTAATGATTGCTGCAGAAAGCCAGGATTGCGCGTTATCCCAGTTATAAAATTGAAAATGGTCTTTATACTAGCTGCCGCAGAAGTAAAAGACATTTGACCAATTTGAAAAACTTGCACGGTGAGTTTAATAAAATCCGTGTTATATTCTTTTTTGTTTTTTTTAACCATATTTCTAATCACGGCTTTAATATTATTATCTTTTAATTCTGGTAGGCGTCTTGCTATGGCACGAATTCGGGATATGCGTTGACGATGCTTGTGCTTAAACTGCCATTAAGTTTCCGAACTTATGAATTACACAGTCTTTAGACCGTTGTAATTTTTGAATTTTCTTTTTGAGCTATTTGTTATTATAGTTTAATGCATTTATCGATTTTTCAGGCTTGTATAGAGAGTCAGATATATATTTAGATGCCTTTTTTTGAATATAAGAAGAAAAAATTTGGTCTTTATTCTTTTTGTGTGAATGTTTCATAGTACGCAAAAGATGGGATATCGATTTAAGATCTGTTTCAGGCATAACGTTAAGAGTATGAATTATTGTATTATATATAGGAGTATTAGTATTCGAGTTAAAAATTTGATTATGTATGATTTTAAGTGCGTGAATAGTAATTTTATTTAAGTGTTTTATTATTTCATTAATAAGTTTTTCGCGTAGATCTATCTCACGCTTTTTGGCCAGTGATTCAAGTGCACCTTTTAATTGCGCTTTACGCTTTGATAGAGGTATTTTGAATAAAAAAGTTAAAATTTATGATATGCGAAAACTATTTTCGAGTTACTCTTGATGCATTTTTAAATCTTTATTAATAAAAGCCAATTTGAAACAAATGCACATGTTTTTTTAGTTAGAACATCTAATAATAACAAAAGCCGATTGTAAAAAAAATTCAACATTAAAACTATTACAACTTTAATAAAACTTTACATCAATATGATGAAAAACTTCTTTTGACAATTACAGTTTTAAACTTTTAATTATTAATGTCAATTTGTAACAAACATGCATGATTTTTTTAATTATAATATTTAATAATCACAAAAGTTAATTTTAAAACAACACAGCATTAAAACCATCATAATAACTTTCAATGAAACTTTACTTATAATATAATGAAAACCCTCTTCACACAATTACGGTTTTAAATTTTTGGTTATCAAGACCAATTTACAACAAACGCTCATCTTTTAGCCAGAGCATATATGGTGAAACAAAAGAAAAAATTACTACTAATAGAATAATCAAAAATGATCGATTAATTAAAATTTTTAAACCATAACTTCTTTTGGCTATATCGTGCCAACTGTTTGCTACAAAAATTGCTAGAAAAAAGTCATTTGTATATGAATCGCGTTAATTTTTTGAATGCTTTTTTTGATAGTAATTTACTAGTAAAGATGTATCAATTTTGCTGATCAATTTTATGCATAAAATCTAACCGTAGTAGTATTATTATTGATCCTTACATCATTTTGCCTAATTAGTATTTGAAATACCCCAATAGACCATGCTGGGTTCTAACTTTGTACCATATACTAGGACTCATGAATATTAATTTATAAAACCTCATTTTACTCGGAACTCTGTCATTCATATTCACTTAAAGTTTGCATTGATGTTATTTTTTATTTGCTACCTTAATATTTTTATCTTATTTGACTTACCGCAAAATAGGATTTACTACTGAAATATGAAATGAGATGTTAACAAAGTTAAGGTTATTGATAGCTGATGTCTATAGAAAATACCGCTATCTTAGCACTTTAAATTTTGATAAGAAGAACAAATAACACCGAATTCTTGAAGAAGATCAAACCACCCTTTATTGGAATTTGCTTTAAAAGAACTACTGTATCTGAATATCTATAGCGGCACTATAAAAAGCAATGCATCGCATTAATTGACGAATATGATTCCCCAATAGAATGAAGGATTTTATAAAAATGCAAATGCTTTTTCAAAATCATGTTTTCATCATTATTAAAGGTAGGTTTATATTATCACAAATATCTTAAGTATTTGACACTTAGAAAAGTCTGATGTATATCTAAAAAAATATTTGATTTACTATTTAAACACTAAGCACATATACACAGATGTTATTTATATCTTAAAATTCAATTGATTGTTTAAAAAAAAGTTAATTAGTCATATTTAAAATATTTTTAACCTCATTATCTAAAAAATTAATGTACTTTCTAATCAAATCTTGAACAACTATTTCCTGGAATAATTCATCAACATTATTAATTACTTCTTTTAGTAAGGGTTTATCTTTATAAATATCAAGATAATTGATTTTCTTATAATACTTATTAGCTATATCGATAATATAATCATTTGGTACTTGCTGCCTTTTGATATTATTGATAAAATCAACATAATTTTTTACTAATTTTTTACTTCTATCACTCCCATCTTTATCTATACCATAATGAATACAAATTTTAAGTACATTTTTAAGTGCATTAATTATAATGATATTAAGTTTTGCATCACCAATATTAATTTTTGAACTATCAATTAAGAAATATTTAATATCAAACCTAGATCCTAATTTTGAGCCTACTTTGCTAATATTATTTCCTAATTCTTTACCTATTTTATTCAAATAATTCATTATTTTAGACAAATCAATTTTATCTGTATTGTGGAAGATATACTACTAAATCGAAGATTCTGATTTATTAGTTTGGTCATTATCAGAAAGTTTCTTCTTATGGTTAAAAGATTCTTTTATTTTAAGATCCTGGCATAGTTCCATGTGCTGTGAACTAGATGGATTATATTGACTATATAGATTTTTACTAAAAAAAGATACATAAGTTAAAAAACTAAGTATACTAAAACTATGTCTAAGATCATAAAATAGATGAATTTGTATACTTTTAAATAAACTTAAAGTATTCATTTCTCTACTATAGATTTAAATTATATTTGTAAACAATATAGAATAATGAAGTATAAAAAAAATATGCTATAATACTTATATAACTGATACTTGTGAAAGAGGTTGAGAAAAATTATAAAATTCATGATCATTTTCAATATTCCTATAAAAAGGATCTACATATTCGCTTTCATTATTGTCTTTATCAAGACGGTGTATCTTTTTATTATTGTTTTTATCAAGATAGTGTATCTTTTCATTATTGTCTTTATTAAGATGGTGTATCTTTTCATTATTGTCTTTATCAAGATGGTGTATCTTAATTAAATTTTATCATCTTGATAACTATGCAGTTTGACCTTGAAGCTTGGCTCATAATTTGAAGGTAAACATTTAAATGAAGTAATAATAACTAAATTTTGTGGTAAATTTTCTGAATATTTCAATTTATAATTGCTTGTGTTTAATTCTAATACAAATAGAGTAATGCCAGAACTTAATATTTTGATTTTTTGTGTATTTGTGCTAAAATATCCAACTTTAGCAAGTACTTCTATTAATATCCAAACAATTTGTAGTAGTGGATCTATATCTATAAACATGCTAAAAATTATTTAATATATTCACTATATATATTGGTATTTTATATAAAGCAAATACTTACTAGTTTTCCAAATTTTTTACAAAAATTAAAAATTTATGTGTCCATTTGATAATTACATCATCATCAGGTTTTTTATTTTGCGTAATAAATTTTTCAGAAACTTGATAATTGTTGAATTTAAAACAAGCTAGAAATTTTATACTATATGAATTATTAAGACCTTTAATCAGTACTGTTCCTGCAGCAAGTACTCTTTCTTTACAATTATCTTTGTTAATAATTCCAAGAATAGATTCAATTTTGCTATTAATTCTGAGAACTGATTCAATTTCTTGACAAAGAGACATGTTGAATATTTTATATAATAGAAATAATTCTTTACAGCTAATAACTAGTAATAACCTGAAATCTTCATTTATACATTTTTTAATCCACTTTTTGAGTTTATTTTTAGTAACCAATACACCATTAATCGATACAAAGTAAGGAGAACCAATTATATATTTTTCCCACTGACTCAAAATATCTTCAAATTTATTTTTAAAAAAATTTTCAAGAGTTGTCTATTTTATTTCAATCTTATCAATTAATTCTGATAAACTTTTATCTGCAGTTAAGCAGGTCTTTCTATATAATTTATGTTCAAAAATCATTTTTTTTGGTATAAAATGACCATAACTATTAAATATATCTATTAATTTGTTATAGGGGTCATGATGTTCTAAAGCTTTTCTTATTTCATCAATTAATTTACTAGTAGGTTCAACTGTCTCTTTTTCAATAGTTATTTCTCTTTTTGAACAATAAATTATTAGAAATAAAATATTTATAGAAGATTTGTCAATAAGAAAGGCTTTATTGATACCAAAATTCTGACTCGCATACTCTAAAATATCATTAGAGAGTTCAATATAATTTTTTAATAAAAATAATTCTTTCTTTGTTTTAGAAAATATTAATTTTGCACTAAATGATGTATTTGTTTTTATAGTAATATTTTGATCTTTAAAATCTAATAAAAAATCTGAAAATTGTATTTCTTGCATGTTAATAACCAATCCATAATTCATGTCAATTGCATTATTGATTAATAATATTCTAATGTTTAAAAATATTCTATATTTCTATCAAATTTGCGAAGATCAATAACAAAAGTATACACAGTATATAATTTTTTATTGTATTTCTTTAGTAGTGTTATATTGGCAATTGTTATGTTGCTTTGTATACGACAAAAAAACTACAAAAAGCGAGATTGACAACAAAAATATGACAAAAACATGAAAAACAGTTTAAGTGAAGATGAAAATAAAAATAATGAAAATCGTAAACAACAAAAAACTAAAGAAATTAATAAAAACAATATAAGTGTCATGATTATTAAAGTGTATAAAAATAATTCTGAACAAAAGACACGATCTACAAAATTTCTTCAAGAAATTAAACTTAATGAAGTCTGCACAGCACTTTAAAGAACAATAAAAATGATAGTGATAGTGATCTTTATATAGGAACAAATTGTCACTTTTTAAATTTTAAAACCAAAAGTGCAGAGATTGAACCAAATAATGAATATAAGTTTCATCTTTGTGAGATTGTTGAAGATAAAGGTGAGTTTTGGTGTTTACATATTATACAAAATATTGAATTTGATTTAGCAAAATTAAGATTTAAATAGTGTTCCTATTGAACCTAGGTTCAAAGTTCATGAACATGTTCAAAGTTTTGAATAAAGAAAAAAGCATATAAT